TCACAGTGGACGAAGGATATAGGCACAGAATTTCAGCTTTCTGGTTCCCGTGTTAACGACTTTCCCACTAAAACTTTGAGGCGCCCGTATGCGGGGCCTAGACGTACTTGAGGATTGGTACCGCGGTCCTGGGGTGGCGTTTGGCCGGGGAATTCACTCGCAAAATTTTGGCGCCGGAGCCTGCTTGGGTGCCGAGTTGAAACACCCGGATAGACGCACACACAAACACACACACACACACATACACACGTACAAACACACCGGGGTCGTCACAATATGTGTTTTTGCATATATGCAAAAACGCATAAAAATCCCTTCTTATTCATCTTTATAACAGAACGAAACGCTCAAGAGTGACCCGAATAAGATAGCACGTGCCTAAATCAAACACACGGCCGTGAGACCGTTGATGGCTCTCCTCTGTCTGGAACTTTGACTTCTTGGAATGTGCCAGTACCAATTTACCATCGAAACAAATGAGCGGATCACAAAAGGATTGATTGTTTCACTAGCGAATGTCAGATACTCAATTTTCCCCGCAAGAGCAGCACCACGTGCAACAGCATTAATTTGTGTACTTCTCGAATCACTGTTATATTTTATTAATTGACATTTGGTTTATAACACATCGCGATCACAAAAAATCAGTAGTGTTTCTTCGCGCCTTTATAATAGGGTTCCGGGGCCTTGCCAAGTATTTGAATATCCGTTATTGCGCGTCGCATTGGCTTCTCGCTGACTTTCGTTGATCGCATCCAAGACACGATTGACTTCGGTGTACAATAACTCATAGGCGTGACGAAGTTTACCAGGGTGATCTATTCTATACGAAGCCAGTATGCTTAAATCTTTGACGAGCTCATCTAGATACCTGAAAACAAGTTTCAGCGAAGTTCAGTGGGTACCAAACCAAAAAAAAGGTCAGCACGCATTTTTTCGGAAGAAAGAGAAGGAAAAGCGGACAAAGAGTCCTCAAAAATTTTTCCAAGATTTTTCAGAAACTTCCGATTAAACCTGTCAGGTTCAAAAACAACACCTGGCGTCATTACTTGTTTCGTTACTGGGTTGCAGCATTAGTTCTTCTGGAATGAACGACGGGGCAGTCAAATCCACCGGTGTATCCCTCACTACATTCGAGGTGTCACCATCTGGCCCATTGTCGTCCATGACCACCCTATTCAATCTTCCATAAGC